CAGGAGTTGGTGATGGACAGGGAAGCCTGGTGTGCTGCAGTCCATGGGGTCACAGAGTCAGACATGACTGAGCAACTGAACTGAACTGAACTGATTTGAACAATTTTATGAATGGTGTACCAAAGTTTATTACATTATCCTTCATCATAATGAGACAGGAGGGTCAATAGAATTGTCTGACTTTTCTTTCTCATTTACTATGGTTCCCTTTTTCAGCTGTCACAGTAGAGAGCCAAGCTGTTGGTTATGTGGCTTATATTGATTTTCTTGCTGTGCCTACTTCTGTATTTTGGTATAACTACAGTAAGGAGTACATTTAAACTGTTTAGGGAATATTGTTAGAAGTAGTAGCCTCTTGGTTGACTTTCTGTTGTAATTTTCCCAATGTTTGCACCTTGGCAACCAGGAAACCTTCTAGATCAGTGGGAGCAGCTCATTTGGGGCTGAGCTGGGCCAAAAAAGGTGGGCAGGAAGGCAGTGAAGGCCACTTCCGTGTGTACACCTCCTAGAGAATCTGGAGCTCCCACATCCTGCCTCTCTCCTGACTGGTTTGTAGACCTGAGCCTTCAAGTGAACTTAGACCTTCATCTCATTTAGGACCCATGGCTTCACGTTGGTAGGTATTGGGAAGGAATGACTGTCTCTGAACACCTTCTTCGAAGGCCACTTTCTATATAATTGCAGTGCACTTTGCTCATCCTCTTGTGAATGAAATGATTCCCTTGAAAAGCTTTTTCAGGGCTCCAGGAGAGCAGTAGCGGGCCTGGGACCTGTCTACAACTAGTAGAGACCATCAAGCAGGTCCCTAACGTTCTGGTGCATGATGTTCCCCTTTAACTACTCCCTTACCTTCTTTTTTTTTTTTCCAATTTTTTTCCCCCTTACCTTCTGTGGTAGTGCTTCCCAAAGCCTTCCTTGCATCCATCACCATTTCTTGTCTTGTCCTTCAAAAATTTTTCATTCTCTGTTCTATTTACATTAAAAAAATAAAGTTTATTTATATTTTATTCTATCTATATCTATCTTCAAAAATTATTAATTCTACACTTGCAGAGTAGCATATGTTGGCTGCTAACTTAAGCATATAAATAAAGCTCAACTCCATACTAGCCAACTCATGTGCTTTCCTCATGTCACATATGGTGGTAACCTGATTGTAATGCATACATCTTAAAGGAGTTAGCCTTTTAAACAAATACTTACAGTTTTGTGGGGTTTTGTCTAATTGATAAATCTACAGGACATTATAAAAATGTTGAAAAATAGAGAAAAGCACAAGGGAGTAATTAAAGTGATAAATTATTCCACAATTTGAAGAAAACTACATTTTGATGTGTATTATTCGAGTCTTTATTTCAAGATATTTGCATGACAGCACTGCTCATTCTCTTCCCTTCACAGATTTTTTTTCTACCTAAAATGGTATTTATGCTTTTCATCCCATTAGATAGCCTTCTAAATTCTGTGATTATGTAGCCATCACTTTCTCATTCTTGCACCTTTAAATTATTTTTGAATTCCTGTGAAAACTGTGGTGATGAAAATATTTACAACGATGAGCTTCACATAACTCTGAATATATACTTAGAATAAATGTACCTAAAACAAATACACATTTTAAAAGCTTTTAATACATATTATTCAACTGCCCTCCTACAAGGGTTTTTATCCATTTGCCCTCCTACAAGCATTTTTTTCAGAGTTCCCAGAATTCTCTTTTAAATTATTATTATTATTTTGGCCACAGCCTGTGGCATGCAGGATCTTAATTCTCCAACCAAAGATTGAACCCAAGCCCCCTACACTGGGAGTTCAGATCTCAACCACTGGACTGCCAGGGAAGTCCCTAAATTATTATTTTCAAAAATTCCTGCCAGCTTGATGACCACAAAAAAAAAATTTCAGTGGCTTAACTTGCATTTCCTTGTTTTGATAGTGAAGTCCCTCATGCCTCACTTTTTTACACCTGCTGGAAATACTTGAAGGTAGTGATTAAGCGGGGCCACTCTAGAGCTAGACTAGTCACTTACTGGTGACCTTGGGTATGTTCCTTCATCTCCCTAAACTCACTGACCAACTCTGATAATGACAGTACCTACTTCATGGAGTCCGTATGAAGATTAAAGACAGTATCACATGAGAAGTGCTTAGAACATGCTTCCTGGAATTACAGTAAGCACCTGATACCTACTATCTCCATGTTCTCTGGCACTTCTATTTCTTCTTATATGAATTGCCTTTTCATTGTCTTTGCTAGGGCAAGTGGTTTTTCTTGGGGCAAGAGTTTTTAATACAGTATGTTAACTCATTATCTACTATATATTGCAGTCCCCTCACCCCCACCAACTTGTGCTTTATCTTTAAATTTTATTCAAAATGAGGAAATATTTAGGTATCAGGCAATTCAGGCCAGGGAAGGCATAGTTTTGGTCCAGCCTGGTTCTTTTTTCTGCCTCTCAACTGTGCTTCCTGGAGTCACTTTCCTCAGTGAGAAGGTCTGGTATTGATCTTTGTCATCAGAAAGCAGAAATGGCATTTTAAGCAGGATAACTTGTTGTATTAAAAATCACCACTATGGAATAAAACTTTGCTTAATTTATGTAACTAATGGTCATGGCAGATGGGAATCCATGGTTAATATTTCACCATTTTCCATTTATCACTAAACCCAAGTTGTCAGCATTCCATTAATGGTGTTGTGAAATTAATTACTTAACTTGAGGGAGGCTTTTAATTTGAGATCAAGATCCCTAATAAACTGAGTAGCCATTAGATGTGACTATTTTCCCCGTTTCCTGCAAATTATATAAATAGAAAGAAATCTTTCTAGCCACAAAATCTTGTATAAAATGGCAAAATGTTCATTATTTTGGCATATACACAGTATTAAAAATGAAAGTTTTTAACTTCATTGGAAAAAATATGGACACAGAGAACATTATTTTGCCTTGCTAAGCAGGGAATTGATCAGAACCACCCTTATAAAAGCATGGAAATTCTGCTTGAGCTGCCAACTTATTTCAAAAAGCTATTAAAAATGGGCAAATATTGCTGCTGTGTGATGGGTATATGGGAGTGTGTTATATTATTTCTAGTAGGCTTGTGTACGATCGAAATTTTCCATATTTCCATATAAAGCTTTTTTAAAAAAGCAGTTTTGTTAACATTTACCACTAGAGATATTGGGGAAAATTGAATGTCTTTTGCTTCTGATTCTTCCCCTGGCTTTTGCCATGTGATTCCTGCATAAACATCTTTCTGCTCACCTGTCCTACTTATTAAAATCACATCAGTCAGTCAGTGAAAGTCGCTCAGTCATGTCCGACTCTTTGCCACTCATGGACATGGACGTGGACAGTGCATGGAACTCTCCAGGCCAGAATACTGGAGTGGGTACCCTTTCCCTTCTCCAGAGGATCTTCTCAACCCAGGGATCGAACCCAGGTCTCCCAAATTGCAGGCGGATTCTTTACCAGCTGAGCCACACTTAACTATTTCCTGATCTCTTTTACTCAGTATCATTCATTAGCTTGTATTTTGGGATTTTCCCCCAAAATATTTTTAAGCACTGAGTCTCAAACATTCAAGTTAAAGTATGTATTGGTCATATGGGCATAAGAGCAAGGAAATTTCAACTTCCAAATTTTATACTTCCTTATTAGATTTTCATCTTTGTTCATTTTGTTGTTTTACTTTAAGCAGGTTCAATTTTTATGTTTTTAAGATAAAAAATTAAACCACGATTTATATCATTAAAAAAACCATTATGATGTACAAGACTGAAGATGCTCACCAGTGCTGAAATAGACACAGAATAGACAACACTTAGAGTTGGACTCAAAGCCTATAAATTGACTATCCTTATTTAACAATCTTTTTCTTTTTTTTTGCTTCTTATTGGCCTTTATTTTTCTGCAAGTAGACTGAGGCTATCTGAGTGGTTGAACTTTGATATGTAAAGCAACATTTTCAGGTGATGGATACTACATATGCTATAGGTTTAAATCAAGAGATAACAATAAATAGTGGTAAATAAAAACTGTTAGATGTCTCAACAGTAAATAGTAAAATGCAGCAATTATTCTTAAAAAATAAATTTTAAAAATAAATAAAATGCAGAAAAAGATCCAAAAAAATCTGAAAATCAAGGCAGAAATTCGTCATTAATGTGTCAATGTATTTTTTTAAAGTATGTATTTTACTTATTTAACAATCTTTATCTTTGCTAAGGGCATCTCAGCTGGCACTAGTGGTAAAGAACTCACCTGCCAAAGCAGGAGACATAAGAGATGTGGGATCAATCCATGGGTCGGGAAGATCGCCTGGAGAAGGGCATGGCAACCCACTCCAGTATTCTTGCCTGGAGAATCCCATGGACAGAGGAACCTGGTGGGCCGCAGTCCATAGATTCGCAGAGTCCCACACGATTCAAGTGAGTTAGCACGCACGCACGCAAGCATGCATGCATATAGATAGGGCTTCCCTAGTGTCTCAGTGGTAAAGAATCCGCCTGCCAATGCAGGAGATGCCGGTTCATATCTCCCTGTGTGGGCAGGATCCCCTGGAGGAGGAGATGGCAACCCACTCCAGTATTCTTGCCTGGGAAATCCCATGGACAGAGAAGTCTGGCAGGCAATGATTTAGGGGCTAAAACAAGGAAGAATGAAGTGGCTGGGCCAAAGCGAGAAGGACCCTCAGCTGTGGGTGTGTCTGGTGGTGAAAGTAAAGTCCCCTGCCGTAAAGAACAAAGTTGCAGAAGAACTGCAAGCTATAAAACACAAAGGTGTCGTGACTCCCAGTCACATCAGTCCTTCACTCATAAGCCAAATGTCGTGAACCATTTAGCTCCTGTAGTGCATTTTGTTACCTACACTCGGGAGTAAAGAATTGAGAGTGATGAGCAGTGAGCAGAATGTTTCTCTATTTTAATGTCTAATTCTCTCAATGCAAATATTCTGAGTCTCGCTAGAGGAGCTGAACCTCCATGTTTCTATTTGCAGGCAAAATGAAGGACCGACTAGGAGAACTCGTGGAGTTAACCAAGCAGTATGACCAGCAGTTCCCGGACGACGACGATGATTTTGACTCGCCTCATGAGGACATTGTGTTCGAGACGGACCACATCCTGGAATCCTTGTACCGAGACATCCAAGACCTTCAGGAGGAAAACCAGCAGCTGATTGCCGACGTGAGGCGCCTGGGAAAGCAGAACACCCGCTTCCTCACGTCCATGCGGCGCCTCAGCAGCATCAAGCGGGACACCAACTCGATCGGCAAGGACATCAAGGCCCGGGGCGAGAGCATTAACCGCAAGCTGGGCGCCATGAAGACGCTGAGCGAGCAGGCGGAAGTCCAGCACGGCGCGCACTCGGCCGTGGCGCGCATCACGCGTGCGCAGTACAGCGCGCTCGCCCGCACCTTCCAGGCCGCCATGCAAGAGTACAACTGCGCCGAGATGAAGCAACGCGAGAACTGCAAGATCCGCATCCAGCGCCAGCTGGAGATCATGGGCAAGGATGTGTCGGGCGACCAGATCGAGGACATGTTCGAACAGGGCAAGTGGGACGTGTTCTCCGAGAACCTGCTGGCCGACGTGAAGGGCGCGCGGGCGGCCCTCAACGAGATCGAGAGCCGCCACCGCGAGCTGCTGCGGCTGGAGGGCCGCATCCGCGACCTGCACGACCTCTTTCTGCAGATGGCCCTGCTCGTGGAGCAGCAGGCGGACACCCTGGACGTCATCGAGCTCAACGTGCAGAAGACCGTCGAATACACCGGGCAGGCCAAGGTGCAGGTGCGCAAGGCTGTGCAGTACAAGAAGAAGAACCCCTGCCGGACGATCTGCTGTTTCTGCTGCCCCTGCCTCAACTAGCAAGTGGCCCCAGACCACCACACTCCCATCCCCGAGCGGGATGGACAGTTAAGCGCTCTGGGGGTAGATTTTGAGGCCATCTGTCCTGGGGTGAGTTGCGCTAATCACTATGGACCTGAGCCCTTAGAGAAAGGGGGAAAAAAAAAACACGAGGTGCAAGAATTCCAGCCCAGCTCGTACTTGGAACAAGGGTCCCACCCGCTGATTCTTGAGTCACGACAGATGCCGGCTGAAGTTTTATGAGGTCGTTTAAAGGGCACATAGCACCCTTGCCTCTTAAAGGAAGCCAAATAAGGAACTGACATTGTGACAACTCTACGGTAGATGTCCAAGGCATGTTTGTACATGAACCTCTGGCCGGAAGTCACTTCTGGATCGGCTCACAGTATGAACTTGTTATCAAAATTCCAGTTCGTTTACCTTATCCTGAAAGTACCTTGGTTCTGTTCCTTTTCGAGTGAAACTGACCTTGGGAAAAACTGCACATCTTCCATTTCTGAGTCTTCCTCTGGTTTATACCATGCGATCCCCATCTGAATGTATATCTTCTGCTCACATCCTCTACTTACTAAAATCACATTTAACACTTACTATTTCCTTACCTCTTTAATTTCAGTGTCTTCCATCAGAATACATTATGGGATTTTTTTTTTTCCCCAAAGTTTTTTGAGCACTCAGTATTGAACAAGCACTCAAATTGAAGTATGTATATCACATTATATATTTTTTCATAAATAAAAATAATTTAAAATTTATCTTTTTACTTGATAATTATGAATACACTTATATGTTAATGTAAAGTGCCAATATTTACTAATGTATGTACATAATGACCAGTTGGTTTAGCTTTACCTTTGTAAATATGATATATAAATATCAAGAAAAACATTTTTACTGTGTTGATGTTGGTTTGCTTGTTTTGAGTTTATCTTGCTCCTGTCTGCATCTCCATAGTTCAGTCTGGATCAAAACCACCCAAGTTTATTTTGAGTTGGTTGGTTATGGTGGTAAAGAACAGATATCAAATACTGAAAATACATACAGAGTTAGAAATATTAAAATAAAAATCTGAGAAATAATTACTTTTGTTTTACTGTGACCCATTCCTTTTGTGCATTGAAATGTAGTAATTTAAAATAAATGTTGTTTTTCAAGTTAAATAAACATTACATTATAAGCATGCTTTTTATGTATTTGTGTCCTGACCATCTAAATCTTAGTCTAACTTTTCAATTATTGTTTTAAAAATTCTATCACCTTGTTTGAGGCTGCAACGGGTGAATGGCCTCTGAATGGGGGAGGGGAGAATGAAAAAGAATTCACAAGGGGTTGTGTTGCTTTCTCTCTGTGTTATTAGTAATAATTTAGCAAAGTCATCATGTTTTGGAGATTTGGTTTCATTTGCAAACTTTGTAATATCCTTACCTACACTCACCATGTTTCCTGTCTTTTTTATGAATCAACTCTGAACTCTTTCTACTCATTGTTTAATAGATGAGAGGGTTTATTCAGTGGTCATTATTCTCGGGTGCTTCAGACAGTGAAATTTTAAAAGCAGTAGAAAGAATATCTGAACTCTTTGGAACTCACTAACTAATCTGCTTACGACCATGAAATCTAGCCCTGCTCCTAGTTTTAATTTCATGGTTAAATATGAGAATTGTGGAAACCAAGTCCCACTGGATTCTTCTTAGACTTCTCCCAATTCTTTCTCAGCTAATTCCAGGGATGATATGTTTCACCTTTGACCTAATTCCCTTTCTCTAAAAAATAAAGTTCACACAGCTCCATTACTAAGTCTTCCATGGTAGTGAAGAGATACTGGGAATACAGGACACGAGCTATTACTAGTTTCCATAAGAGAGAATACTTCCTGAGTTTACCCCATAATGCATTTTCTTTGTTTGGAACCATTCCTGAAAGTCAAGGAGTTTGCTGGTTCTGTGTATTTAAAAAATTTTCACATTGGAAAGTTAGGTAAAAATTTCACTTTAATATACTCAGAAATTTGTGAACTTTTGCTTATTGAAAAGGCAAGAGTTTTTCTTCCTGCTCTTCAGTAACTGTCCAACTGTGGCATAGCAGATAAGAACACAGATTCAGGACTGCACTCTTTGGGTTTAAATCATGACTTTGCCACACACCAGCCATATGACTTGTGCCTTTTTCCTTATCTGTAAAATGGATATGATAGGACCCACCTCCTAGAGTTGTTAGAAGAAGTAAATGACTAAATATGTAAAAGTACTTAGGATAGTGCCTGGCACATGCTAAGTACTATATTCATTATTGTTACTGCATAACTTTCTTGTAGACTGATAGAGCTGCTATTAATTAATAGCTATTAACTTCTGAGAAAAAATACATGTTTATAAGGGCTTCCCTGGGGGCTCAGCTGGTAAAGAATCTGCCTGCAATGCAGGAGACCTGGGTTCAACCCCTGGGTTGGGAAGATTCCCTGGAGAAAGGAATGGCTACCCACTCCAATATTCTTGCCTGGAGGATTCCATGGACAGAGGAGCCTGGTGGAGTACAAACCACGGGGTCATGAAGGATTGGACACGACCGAGCGAATAATACTTAAACTTCTATTCTTCTGTTAATAATCTTTAATAAAATAGAAGAAAGAAACCAAGACCTTATCTTCTTTGAATATTAGGGTTTACATTTTTTTTTTTTTTACAATGAAAGGGCTGTTTTCACAGTGGCATTTCATGCCTTCTTATATTCAAGTATGTTACAAAGATGAAATTAGATATTCCACTCAAAAACTGCTAAGCAGGAAGCAGCTGTTCTGCTCCATGTGACAAGTGCTTTCCCCTGATCCTTCCAAGCTATGAGTCAGAAAGTCCCAGAAGTTCAGCTGTGGAGACCAGGTCACAATAGACCAAAGACTCTTCCCACACCCCACCCTATTTCCTCAAAGCCCTTCCCGGCTCTGACTGCCCTGCCTTGGGGTGGGTGGAATGCTGGGTTTTTCCTTAAGAAAGGGGGCTCCAGTGCCATGAGCAGGTGCTGAGAGTGGAGTTTCCCTCATCCTGTGATGCTCACTTGGTAAACTCTGAAAGTTGCCTGTGGGTAAGAAGCAGACTTTGAGGCAAACCTGGAAACTTCATGCACTGCGTCACTTCGGTACGTAATGAAAGAACCAATCACAAAGAACAACAGATCTTTCAGGAGTTGAAGGTAAAAATTTTTTAAAGCTATTTTTAAAAACCTTTTTCCTTTTAAACACTTGGCTGCACCAGGTCTTGGTTGCAGCACACAGGATCTTTAGTGGCAGCATACAGGATCTAGTTCCCTGACCAGAGACTGAACCCGGGCCCCCTGCATTTGGAGTGCAAAGTCTTAGCCACTGGACTACCACGGAAGTCCCTTAAAGCTATTTTTTTTTAAATTTTATTTTTTAAAACTAGAGGATAATTACAATATTATGATGGCTTTTGTCATACATCAACATGAATCAGTCATAGGTATACACATGTCCCCTCCCTCTTGAACTTCCCTTCCATTGCCCTTCCCATTCCACCCCCCAAGGTTGTCACAGCACTGGCTTTGGGTTCCCTGCCACATATATTGAACTTCCACTGGCTACCAGTTTTACATGTGGTAATGTATAGGTTTCAACGCTATTCTCTCATATCATCCCACCCTCTTCTTCCCCCCACTGTGCCCCACCCCCGCCAGCTTAAAGCTATTTTAACATATGAAGTGACTCCTAACCAGCCAAAAACCACAGTTCTAGCCACAGACTCTAGCTGATGACAATCCAGAAATGTAAATAATAGGAAAGATGCTCACCTTGGATGCATCAGTATCCAGGATAAAAAGAGTTATAATTTTTAAAAAGCTGATCAATAACATTAAAATGTTTGAACTGTGACATCACAAGAGTCTGTTTATAGTCTTTCAAGATAACAACTTGGAAAGAAAATAGGGTTTCTTGTGTCAATGCTTTAGATATACTTAAAAACAGTTCCAATGCTTTGTAGTTAAATGTCACATGCAAAGATTTTTTCAGGCTCAGTATAAACTTGCTATAAACAGTATAACAGTTTAAACTTGTACAGTAAACAGTATAAACTTGCTATCTTGACAGGCAACTACTGAATGTGTGCATAGCTTTAAAGTAATAAAATAGGGTACCCGTAGTCTTGGTTTCTCTATATAAATTCTGCCATTCTACTTTCTATTAATACTATCAGAACTCTCTCTTCAAAATATGAAAGGTAAGTATTAATGGATAAAATGAGAACCTATGCATAGCAGAGGAAACTCGACTCAGTAATCTATGATGACCTAGATAGAGAGGAAGTCCAAAAAAGTGGATATATGTATATGTGACTGATCCACTTTGCAGTACTGCAGAAACTAACACAGCCATGTTGCTGTAAACAACTCTACTCCGATTTAAAAAAATATGTATTTCAAACTACAGCATGCAATTCTCCCATTTGTAATCAAGGTGATAGTTTGAAACATGCATTTATAATCAGAGTAACAGTTGACTTACTTTTGATAGCAGAATTAAAAATCATTGGACTTAATAAAATAGGACTATTAGAAATGGAAAATAAATAGGATCTAGAATGTAACTGCACCATCATATAAAAATTGAGCCTCTTTATTAGCAACATGTGTTATGAAGAATGAACAAGATGTCTTTATACACATAACAATGTGCTGTGCCTAGTCATTCAGTCGTGTCCGACTCTTTGGGACCCCATGGGCTGTAGCCCACCAGGCTCCTCTGTTCATGGGATTCTCCAGGCAAGAATACTGGAGTGAGTTTCCATACCCTCCTCCAGGGGATCTTCCCAACCCAGGGATCAAACCCAGGTCTCCTGCATTGCAGGTGGATTCTTTACCATCTGAGCCATCAGGAAAGCTCATAACAGTATCTGTTGGCATAATACTTTTTTTTGGCTGCGCACCTGGGGGGTTATCAATTCCCCAATCAGGGATCAAACACAGGCCCTAGCAGTAAAAGCCCAGAATCC